GTACATAAATTCTCTAGGACATAGACAGGCCTGATTAATTTTGATTAATATTAATTCTCTAATTAGCATAATAATTCATAATTTTTTTGTTCTGTTCTGTTCAGACAGGCCTGATTAATTTTGATTAAAATTAATTCTCTAATTAGCATAATTCACAATTTTTTTGTTCTGTTCTGTTCATATTAGTTACCTGATTTACATAATTAGTTTTCAGCTTTTCCATAAATATCTCATGTACAAGTAATTTTGAATTAATTTTTAATGTGTCTTCAATACTCTCAGCACACGGGAGTTCTTTCTAAGCTTTCTTTGATTATAATTTTATTCGGTGAAAATACACAACACACTGAATTGCAGACTTGACTCTACTTCTATGATGTCTGACTTTGCGGTTCATTTATTTTGCCATTCTGTGCAAAATATCGTGCACTGTGTGTGGTTTGCACTGTACAACGCAAAACGTGTCGATCTCGGAAGTTTCAGTTGAAAGTCACGTGGCCAAATCAAACTAAGAATGCCTACGGTGTCGACCATTGACGCCGTCGGCGTCCTTCTGTGCAGATACAACGCCTTGTCTAGGGGTGCAATGCGTGAAACACAGTGAAAACGTTTCAAAGGGGGGGGTGTATTCGAGGTGCCGAATATTATAACGAAACAGTTTTTAATTTTTTCTAAAAAAAAAAATTAAAATCCATATTCGTATTACGAGGTACTATCATATTAAACAGTAGAATGCCCTTAATTATAGCAATGAATCACGATTCGGAGTCAGTATTTCAAACGAAATGAACCATACCCCGGGCGCACTCGAATTGGTGCATAAGGACCCATGCTCAAACATTTGCAAAAAAATGACAGGTAGACCTGACTTTCTGTCACGCGTCTTTGTGTTGCAGTATGCAGCAGAATATGACTCATATATTATTTAAAATCTCGCGACAACTTCGAAGAAATCCGCCACTAGTATTTTCTCTGAAATCACGTGACACAGCTTTGGCGACTGGTATTCAAGTTGAAGCAATCGACAATGCGGAAGAAGTCAGAAATATAAATTAAATGTTAGATGACCTTGCTCTCTGTAATATCGAACATAGTAGCTACTGTGGATAACAATGACAGTGAAGTGAAATTTTGTCAAATGAATTTGATCCCGAACCATCTAACCTCACTCCACGCGAGATCTCGTCACAAATTGGAAATCCCCGATTATACTTATTGCTCTGAAATAGATTCTGTATCGTGTTTGCATTCGCGCTAAGCTATATAAAGGTTGTACGTGTTGTCGAGGAGCGGATACCGGGTAACTCCTACTCTTAGGCCTAGTATCAGGTAAGATTAAAAACATTACTATTGCCGACTATTGATAGTGCTTGTATTCGGGACGTGATTCCAGGACGAGGTGTATGGGTGATAGAAAAGTGCCAATGATGCCTCAACCAGACCGGGGGGGGGAGACTACTTCCACATTAAATGGGTAAGGGTGTGCAGCCCACCTCTCGTAAACCATACTCACTTCTAAACCATTTTTTTCAATTTATATACCCATTTCTAAACATTCTAAATTTCTAAAGTGTTTTCAGCAAAAAAAACACCCAGCTCACAACTTTCGCAACCAGTGAGCGCATCCGGGCGATGCATTTTATTCAGCCTTTTCCAGTATATGGCTTTGAATATAAGGACCTCTGAAAAAGTAAATAAATGCCACACACTTCTAAACCAAACCATTGATAAATGACTACCCACTTCTAAACAAAATAACGTGAAATGACACCCCAGTCGGGCGGCACAAATACCCGTATTGCACTTCTATGCAAGTAACAGCAAATGTTGATACTCCATTAGAAAATTGCGAGACCCGCCCCTGGAATGTACACAGGCACTAAAAATAACAACAGAGATTGATAGTGAAACTGACAACAGTGTCTGGAATAAACGACTTTGGGTGCCACATTTCTAGACTGAGCTAGTAATAGAATGACAAGCCCGCCCGCGCCTCAAAACCCTGCATAGATAAGGGGCAACTTTTTTGATTTTTTTTAAACTGCTGTTGATATCAGCCCACATAATTTTTAGTTTCTAAAATCCTCCCCCAGCCAACGCTCGCAGAGTTTTGGAATGTTCCACACTAATCTACACACTATAGGGGAAGGGGCAGTTGCATGACACGATCGACTGAAAATATCGTCTCATTTGCATACATTAATATTCATGTAATGAACATATCGTAAAACTATGTCAAAACTATGCTTTCCGACAGCCAACATGGTAATTCTATATCCACTGATTCTATCGTTACGAGCTGAGGTTTTATCAGTACAGCATTCTTTTGATAGCAACCACTTTTTTATTTGATATGATCATCGCAAACTTGCACATAGTGTTTTCAATAACTTTTACCGGTAACTGTTTACCTAATTAGTATGCATTTAGTATGCGTAGTTTGAAATGGAACAATTTTGAACGCAATAAAATCACACATAGAATTCACTCCTGCTAGAAATTAGTAGCGCCAAACTAGTTGTCAGTTGAATTGTTTTGCAATAAATACAATTTTAGGGCCGGTTTTCAAGTTTCGTTGAGGATTATTCTGTAAAGAAATCGCTGAAATGATTTTATCTGCTCATAAAAAAAGTACGTTGTTGTTTCCACGATAGCCTGCGGACAAGTGATGTTCTTCCCAGATTGGGTGGCGCCCTATCTTTTGCCTTTAGTGGAACTTCTCTATTGTAGTGGAACACAAACGCGTGAACGATTGTGAAGGGGGCGCAATAGTTCTTCGTGCGGCGCATTCAAATATTCCTTTCGACTTTCATGTACGCCGCTAATGATAAATTACGGCTTTCTCCATCCAACGCGGGTCAACTCAGTGAAGATTATATATTATTAGAAAGAATGGTACAGTATCCATTTGTTTATATATTTATTACGTATATTATTCCACTAATATCTAGTTACTTAATTTCACATTAAAATTATTCTACACATCTTTTGGAGCATATGCAATCACTGATCTCCCACTTTTCCTAACGCCCTTGATTCAGAATAGACAACTGGATTGACGTGGTTTTCCACGATGTGCCACAAAGCCAATCAGATTCTGGTTGATATGCCTACGCACACGCACAGGAGCGTATATTCATCCGCGGTGACGTAACGGTGTTCGTACTGATTGGTCAACGGCAGTTTTCAATTTTTTTTTATTTTTTTTCATTTTTATAAACCGTAGACGGCTTTTCTGAAGCACTGTGTAATAAACCCCCTTTAAGGCACAACATCAACACTTTCCTATAATAAATTGTATAATTATGTTTTATCGTGAACAAAAAAATATTGTGTTATAAAACAGTATTCGTTATATGTAAAATCATATGCATTGTTATCAAAACATTGGTCATGTCATGATAAGTAATAGTCAAGTGTTACAGTATTTATTAACAGCATCGATCAACAATATTCAAAATTACATTTGTTCGTTCATATTGCTTATTTACAACTGTGCTGTGCAAATCTGTGACCTCGGGACTATCGACGATCTCCCACTAGCAAAGATTTGTTCTACACACATTAATCAAGTGTCATCTGTACCGTTATATATGTGTTATCCTATTCAACTTCTCCTAACACAGTTTCACTTAACATGTTTTATTTCTTCAGATTAGAATCTATTTGCTGTTGTTACATATATGATATAGTAAAATGGCACATGCTTCAAATGATGACTTCAGCGGCTACAGACAGAGGATTACACCTGAGTACATTGAGGTATGTACATTTAGTCATGAAAGCGTCAAGTTTATATATTCTTTCAGTTATGACGAATCTTCAGATTTACGTTTTACACTTTTGGGCATCCTGCGTTCACAAAATATTAATATTAATAACAATAAGCTGATCTAGGGAACTCAAGACTCAATTATCACCCTGCGTGACAGATTAAGGTAGCGAGACTATTATTTGCATACTTGTTTTCATCTTCTAATTGTGACTAAATGACTACAAATAGACCCGGGAAAGTATATATTTTTAGAATCGCCAGACTTCAAGCTTTTCACAAGTGTATTTTGCATGCCCGTGTCTGCATTCTACGACGCGTTACTCAATCAAAGGTGAAAAATTACTTTTTCTGTAAAAAAAATAATTACGCATTTACGCTGGCGATAAGAAGTATTTTTTTCACTTTTCCTAGTTGTTCAATAGTCTGGTAAATTGAATGTGTCTGGTCAGTTTTATTCAAGCAACGCGTTTTAAAAAATAGTGTGCTGAATTTCAATTACTGTTTTAGTCACATTGCCCCCAACTCAAACCACAACTCGTTGGTAAATAATCGATGAAATAGTTTGTCTGGACACATTCAAGTTCCTCTCATTGTCACCTTAAAGCTGTGA